GTTAATTGGTAAGCAAAATCTAAATTACCTCTGCGTCTGTCACTTATCACGGTATCTAATCATCGCACAAACATGGATCCGGCGTCTGTACATTGACGAATTGTGCTAGAACGCGATTATTTCGAACGACTTACCTGACCGAAGAATCTGGCACGCGTAAACGCGACAAAGCGGTTATCCTATTTTCGGGTACTGGTTTTCGAGTAAGGATCGCGGATATCTATCTATCTGTATCAATTCGCCTATTCAATTAACTTGCAATGGGGTATAATGAAATATGTATCCGCTAAATAATAACGGCCATAAAAGGTGAGCATATATATTATTTGTCGCTCGGTAATGCGGGAGATGTAGATGTACGAACGGCAAGGAGGTTGCGCTATTAAAAATTCCAAGATGTCCGAGAATCGTAGAATATCGAACCGTGAAAATTAAAAGTCATGAAAATCGATAAAGTCGAAAATAAGGAGAACGTAATCAGCGAGGAGGTAGCACTATGTAAAATCTCGAGAATTCCATTAATATTTCCGAGAATTTGCCACATTTTCACGAATTTTCTGTATTTTCAGGTACTTAATTTTTACGTCCTCCGCTGCCGCCGTCGTCATTCTAACATCGCTGCTTTTCCGACTTCTGGTGCGTCTTGTACGTTATGGCAGTTCTACGCATCTCGTCTTCCGCCGCGGCTGATGCATCTAAGTATAATCTTCCAAAGGTATGATGTATTCATAAATTTTGAGACGAATCAGACAGTCGTTTCTATCAGTCGCGTCAAAGAAACGATTAGGATAGATATCGGAAGATCGTTGATTTTGCGAATGCCGAATGAAACGCGCAAAAGATCTCACCAAGGAAAGGAATAAGGTGATAAAGAAATAGTCGCAAGGAAATAATCACGCGCATGGGTACAATGAATCATGATTTTATTTGTTATATAATAATATCTACAATAAAAATACCATATCGTTTGAAAAACAATTTTCGTTACAATTATACAGTAATTTTATATATAATATAATATTTAGGTTTTCGTTCCAAATAAGACGTAGCGATGAACATACACCTCGCGCAGTGGGAGTGAGAAAATACATTATTTTTTTGTCGCAAATTCCGCGTTGTGGTTTCGTCACTCAGCGTGTGTTTTTTATGTATGTGTGTATATGTGTGTGTGTGTGTGTATCTCTTGCTTTTGTTCTTTTTTTTCCCGAGTGTCGTCGATCTTACGCGCGAACACCCGAGACGAGCGTGACCCGCGAACATGATATCCGTGTATCGCGATTTTTATTCTCCTTCTTTTCTCCGGCACTTTATACGACCTCGCGCTTTTCGGTCGTTCGCATTTCCGAGAAAAAGGAGGCCTCGTCGTCGGAGACGGTCGCGGGGTGGTGGCCGCCGCGCGTCTCGAGTGTCCCCGCTTCCTATGGCCTCGCACGCAATTCCTTCTTTCCGTCCTTTTGTTTCTCTTTCCTCTTTCTTAGTAATGTGCGGAGAGTGTGTTGTAAAAAGCGTTGGACTCTGCAGAGAGCGAGCCAACTTTTCATCGCGCGCGACCGCGCGGACAGTATCCCCGCTTAGTCTCTAAATTAGCTACACTTAATAGTTAATAGTACCATAATGTCATCTCAATATATATTATATATACACGTATATATGTATGTATGTATACATATATATATGTATATATCTCACATTGTATTAGTTTATCATAATATATAGAAAATACATATAACAATTATTTAAATGACTCACAATCAATCATCTTGCCATAGCGCGCATATACGTCGATCGAGCGTGCATGCCGTGCACGTATACGCGCCCATATGCGCACGCGCGTGTACATATATATTTATATATATAATATTTATATATATATATATATAATAAATATATACATACGAATATATTTATCGGTGTGTTAATTACATGATATTTTTTACACTCGTCGTACAGAGGGAGGAAAAGGATGGCGCGAAGGCTCGAGGGAGCGGGTGCGGGACCGGGAAGGGGATGGAAAAGGGGGGACAGATCTTTCATACATTTACATTATCTGTCTGACGTACTGCCAATATACAGGGAAATTCTCATCGGTACCTAGTCGATATCTTACAAACGGTTTTTTTTTGCCTATCTTGTACTGTAGTACGTATCCTTGCATCTAGCGAACACGTCTCGTCGTCCTGTGTCCTGGCAGGCATTTTCGCCGTGCCGCTCATAGCGTTTGCCTTCGATCTATCTTTCCTTTCAGTTATTTATTACGTATGTCGGTGTTCGCGTCTTTTTAACACGTGACATTTGAGAACCTATACTCGCATATACGCGAGTCTACGCAATGATACAGATATCTGAAGAGAGAGAGAAAGAGAGATTATTTTTGCGGTTTTTGAGATCGGGATTTTAACGTGATCTTCATACAACGACGGCGAGTGAATTGGATTAAAATTGAAGAGATTTGCTTTTAAAAAGATATTGGTGAGAGTAACTATCCTGTGCCGAAGCAATACATACAGCTAATAGAGTAAATTGAATTAGAGTCGACAAGATTTTATTTGAAATCGCTCTCCAATCTTATTCATCTACCGTAAATTACTTTCGCTATGTATTTCAAGTCTCATAAGCGTTTTTATTTTGATTCTGCTATCTTCTTTTCTCGCATTTTGATTGTTACGTCACGATGCAAAACAGATAGTGGGTGGATTTCTCCTTCCTCTCTCTTTCCTCGGGTTCTTAATGCCATTTTGTAGAAGGTATCACGAATGGCCATGTATACAAATTGCGAGAAACGCTCAGAAATGCTGGAATATCCGCAGTTGTGTTTCTTGACACTTTCATAGCTCTCGTGATGTCTTTTAATTGATAACGATTGAATTTAGAGTCGCCTTTGTATTTATTTCACGGATGATTATCGTTACGCGTGTGCGATACAATGTTATTTGATAAAATTCACACAGAGGCATTTTTGATTCAAATTTATCTTCATACAGTAGCAAGAGATACCTTAACAGGTGATATAATGCAGCTTTCAACAGCAACGTCTAAAATTTCGCAAAATTAATAAGGAATGTATAGATTTCCTTTCTTTTGATTCTCGCTTTGATTATTATTTTCATAATTGGCGACTCTGAAAGAAATCGTTTCTGATGTATCCTCAGAAGATGACACTATTCTCAAGCAAAAATTTCTCAAATTGTGCATTTAGTTCTCGATCGAAGCTGTCAGATTGTCAGTAATTCTTACGTAACTATCTCGTGATAGCGTGAACATAGTGAGATCTTTAAATATCTCCGAAAGATTCGATCGACAACGAAATTCAGAAGCTTCTCTCGCGTCCCAACTCTTTTTCCAACCGTAAGCATCAAGCTAAGCGTATCTAAATTCATCTATAGCTTCTAACTGGAGACACGAAGTTCATAAGAGC